GCTATGAGTCAGTTCCGACTCGATGGCACCTGACAACAAAAATGAGACAAAACCTGCTCGACAACAACAGCATCCCTCTCCCCTGGGCTCTGTCATCTCTGGACTCATTCTTTTTACTTTCCGTTCCCTAATACACTGCTGCTGATTTTCTGCCATGATGACATTATTATTGTTAAGTGTCATCAAGTCAGTTCTGATTCATAGCAAAGTGATCTTGTGTATGGTTTCTGAGGAGTGGCTGATGACTTTGAACTGCTGACCTTGCATTTAGCAATCCAGTGCTGACTCTGTAACACTACACCTACTTATTAGTTACTCACTATTTTGCTTAAAATAATTCTTCTCATGAATGCCTGAATTAGGCTAAGAGTGACAACTTCATGCCTTGTTTCACAGGTAAAATGGAAGTTACCAAAACCATTAGGTTTTCCCCTTTCATTGCAGGAGACCTACCCAATAAGAATAACAGTGAGGAAAGTAAGATATGTGAACCTCTGCCTTTTCTTAATCCATTCTTCCTACTTTATAGAAACTTTTGTCAATTACATAAACTGGAAGTTAACTCTCTTTACTTATAGAGCAAAGCCTTACAAACTATAATGTGTGTATAGATCATCTGGGAACTTGTTAAATTGTAAATTTTGACACAATGCTCATAGGTGATGCTGTTGGTGATAGTGGCCATGTTCTAGAGGATCCTGTAAATATGCTCAAATCAAATATTTCAAACACTTAATTTTCTTAGAAGGAGCAATTATCCTGTATTATGATTAAAAAATAGATGAATATCCCATATAAATACAAAAGTACTGTCAAATATCATCTTAAATTTCCAAACAACTAAAATGATTCACTTTGACAGATGGCATATTGTGGTGTCCTCATTCCCTACTGATCCTGGCTCAGTGCTTTTTTACTTTGATTTTCTAACATATACGCTTCACATCTCTGCCTTTAACCTGATCACCAAGGACCATTTTTGAAAGACTCTCCTGGAAAGGACATTTAGAAGAGAAAAATCTATTCTACTAATTTACTCAGTAATGAATTCCATCTTAATCTCTTATTTTTAACTTTCAGGGCATGAGTTAGATCTTTCTCTTTTCCACAATTCTGTGTATGCTGACAGGCAAATGGTGGCTTTAATTACTTAATTATGGGATGAATGGGTAGGAAAATGGCCAAAGGGATGAATGAAGAAATCCAAGAGGTAGTCCATTCAATGTTAATCCTATCTCATTACTAGTAGCCTCACAGTTTAGATGGAGTGTGTTTATTAAGAAGAAAAATTATGTGAGAAAACATTATCTAATAAAGTACTTACAGGTGCTCTATTGCATTAGATCTGGGTTCTAATTTTATTTCTGTCATTTGCTAGCTGTTCCACCTTTACAAAAAGGTGACTGATCTTTCTGTTTTTGTCTTCCATAAATTGGAAAGAACAATACCTGTTTTGTAGGAATGCTGTTTTAAAATACTATATGATTTTAAATATACATATTGTTGTTGTTGTTGTTAAGTGCTGTAGAGTCGGTTCCGACTCATAGCAACCCTGCACAGGGTTTCCGGGGCTGTAAATCTTTCTCCCGTGGAACAGCTGGTAGTTTCGAATTGCTGACCTTGCGGTTCACAGCCCGATTCGTAACCACTACGCTACCAGAGCTCCTTAAATATACATATATGTATATGTAAATATATGTTGTTTTATTACTAAGTGCCATTGAGTCAGTTCCGACTCATAGCAGCCATGTATAGGGTTTCCAAGGAGTGACTGGTGAGTTTGAACCACTGATATTGCAGTTCAAACTGACCTTGTGGTCCAGTGCTTATCCTACAGGCCCACACCAGGACTCCTATGTTATCATAATCTAAAAAAATATGTATGGATTGGCTTAAAAATACAGAGAAAAAAACAAACAGTGTTGATAATTTATGGGCCATAAATTCTGTATGCTGTGGGTAAAATTACATTACTCACTAGTAATTCAGGATGCATGCTTTTGTAATACGTAAGACTTATTATAGGATGTTGTTTATATTGCTCTGTTCCCTGGTTGTTTTTACATAGTTGTATTTCCTATAGTTTCTAAAATAGCTATTCTCAATCATACTTTCTTTTTCTTCTTTAATATAGCTGAGCTGTTCTAATTTAAGCATTAAAGGTTAGACTCAAAATATATCTTCTGATCTGTTGTGACATCTGGGATTATCCAGGGATCCCTGGCACTGTCAAACACAGATCAGAAACACAGTCCCACAGAGAAGGATAATTTATGTGCTAAAGACATAAAAAATAAGGGAAGTGAATTTGAAAAATTAGGGAGTGAGCTTATAAGTGGAGCCCTGGTGGCATAGTGAGTTAAGCACTGGGCTGCTTATTACCTTAAAGTCAGCAGTTTGGATCCACTAAGATGAGGCTGTGTACTCATGTAAAGTTTTACAGCCCTGGAAACACCAGGAGCAATTAGTGCCACTAATAAGGCCTGTATGGGTTGGAATCAACTCAATGGCAGTGGATTGGGGTTTTGGTTTGGAGCTAATAAATGACTATATTACTGCGGCTATGCATTTTAGTTTTGAATTTCAATTGGTTATAAATGATTGCATTATTTTGCCTTTCTATGTGGGGAACAAAATGGTCCAGATAGCATAACTACAATTGAGTTGTTAATAAATATGGGTTTTATAGAATTACTTTTCTTAGGTAAATTTTACAAGGGTAATATAGAGTATATTTAATATTGTGAAATAATGTGCATTCCAATTTTCTTGAATTTGTGTAGGTTACAACAGTTACTTTTCAGGATTTGCCGGGATGTAATCTGTCTACACTGGCAGAGTGTACAAATCTTCAATTTCTGTCTCTTAGACGCTGTGGATTAACTTCTTTACACAACTTGAGTAATTGTAAAAACATAAAATACATTGATGTACAGGTATGTCCTATGTCTACTCATTATGTATCTTTCAATAAAATGTAAATGGATTAATGTTTATGTTTCTGAAATGACAGTTTTGGAGAAACATTTCCTAAAATCAGCCAGAACGTAGGTCTTAAAGACATCAAAGGCCTAAATTTGTGAGAACCAGAGATGGACAATGCCTAGGTGACTTGGGAATTGCATTTCTGTTAGAAAAAAATATGATTATTTATTTATTTATTGTAACCTTTTTCTGCATAACAAACAACCCCACTACTTAGAAGCTTAAAACAACAACCATGTTATTTGCTTACGGTTATGTGCGCCATGCATTCAAGCACTCTTGGCTGGGAATTTCTTCTGCTTCATATTGTGGTGTCTGGGTCTCATGTAATTTCTCTGACTCTCTCTTTCTCTTGTTCTCTCTTTTCTTCACTTCCTCCCCTCCTCCCTGTCTCTGTGGTTCTCTCATATGGCTTCTTTAATGTAAGCTCTAAAATGCAACTTCTTATCAAGTATTGGCTTTTAATGTTCTGTTTGCCAACCCAGAGTTGGTATGGCAGAAGACTGTATGGTTGTATGAATACTGGGCTATAGGGTTTGTCATGAGCTACTCAGAAACACCTCAAAAGAACCTAGTGATCTATTTCCAAAAGATAGTTTTTGCTGTTAAGTGTCATTGAGTCGGTTACAACCCTACATAGGGTTTCCAAAGAGTGGCTGGTGGTTTGAACTGCAGACCTTGTGGTTAGCAGACCAGTGCTTACCCTACATTGCCGTACCAGTACTATTGAAAACCTTTAGGAGTACAGTGCTACTCTGAAACACATAGGGTTGCCATGAATAGGAATCGACTCAGTAGCAACTGGATTGGTTTTACCAAAGTAACAGTACCAAACCCTAACCTTTACATTTTAATGATCAACATCCTTCCCACATGCAATGTACACGAATGTTCTAAATATCCCCAAAGTCTCTTCTACCATGGTTTCTGGGTCAGATTTGCAGCACAGGATCTTCTCATCTAAATCAGGTCCAGGTTCAGCTGAATCTACTCAGGTGTAATTCCTTGGGTGCATTTTAGGTTCAGCTCTTGTTAACTCAGATGTGTGAACTAAATTAAAAAGGTTTACCCACATACACACACACACACCTACATACAGTGGTGCGTTATACCTCAGTTAACTGCTATAGTCATTCTCATTTAAAATTGTAAAAAAAGAGAAAGCTCATAGCAGTCTGGAGTCCAGAGATGAACTCCTGTTTCAAATTACTTTTCACTCTATTGGAATGATCCTAATCTTTGTTTCTTACTTCTGGACTTTGACACAATCTTCCGTGCAAACTTCCCTTTCCATAGAAGTCTCCCATTTTGAGGCTGGGATTTTTCTCAGAACTTCCCTTACAAGTTGGGAAGCGGGGAAGAATCTGGAACCATCTTTTCATTTTGAACTCTCTATTCCTTTCGGTTCAAACCAACAGTCCTTCCATCAATATTTGTTGTTGTTGCTAAGTGCCATCAAGTCAGCTCTGACCCATAGTGATCCTGTTATGGGGTTTCCGAGGAGCAGCTCAATATGATTTCTTTTAAAAATGTTATGGGTTTGTTATGCTTATTAGCTTATTATATTAGACAAGGGACTTAAAAATATTTGGAAACAAACCTTTTTAAAGGGGTGTTGTGGGACTGTACTGTAAATATTATAGAAGCGTGTTTATTTTTTTGAAGTCTTATAATGGATCTTGCTGAGTATACTTGATGTGATCTTGACCATGAGGCCACTATTATGTATTGTAGACATGTGCATATCTATGTGTGTGTATGTGTAATGAAAGTATAAACCGATGCTGAGATATACACCTAATTCATGAATATTGAATCTATGGAAAGGCAACAGGCAAAATGGGCTGGAAAGGGGGAAATCAAGGAGCTTCAACATTTTTAATATTTTGAATCCTAAAAAGAAGTTTGGTGGAAACTATGATAAAAAATACTCAGTCTTATTCCTTTAGGTCATTTGAAAAACTAAGTAATTTATTGTATTATCATGTGAATTTTCTGCATTTTAAGAGAATGTTCATGAATTAATTTACAATCAGTAAATTTTTATTAGAGTGTTAATATTTCCTTCTAGATAGTGTAACAGTATGTATGGTTACCATAGAGATTAGAGATTTAGATATGCATTGTTGGTGGTGGTTGTTGCTATTGAGTTGCTTCCAACTCATAGTGACCCAGTATAGGGTTTTCCAAGCTGTGGATCTTTATGGAAGCAGAACGCCTCATCTTTCTCCCAAAGAGTGGCTGGTGGATTCAAACTTCTGACCTTGCGGTTAGCAATCTAAGGTATAACCCACTAAGACACTTGGGCTCTTTGTTATTGTTGTTCCATGCTGTCATGCCAGTTCCTACTCATATGAGACCCTGTATAAGAACCTTCAATACAGTTCCAAGGAGAGACTGGTGGGTTCCAATCACCACCCTTGAGGTTTGATATTCAGTTCTTAGGAAATCGTATAATAGTCTTACTCTTTTTGCAAGCTTTAAGTGTTTCATTAATAAGTCACTGAACTAAAAGTAATTATATTTGTCCTTTGTTTTAGGAAAATCTTATTCAGACTATCAATTGTGAAAATTTGGAAAATCTCAGCATTCTTCTTCTTAATAAAAACCAACTCAATTCTTTGCATGGTTTGGATGGTTGCATTAATATTCAAAATCTTGAACTGTCACATAATAAAATCACTCGAATTGGTAAGAACAATAATTTGAATATTTAAGCATAATTTCTCATGATTATATTTTATTTCATTTACTTCTTTTAACAATAGACCATTGTAACTAATTTTGTATATTTTATTCATTCCATTAGTCTTTTTTTTAAACTCAGATTTATTTGGAAAATAAAATTATTTTAGCATACATAAAGGGATGGGCTCCCTCCTCTGAGCAAACAGCTGTCAGCAGTCCCTCTTCCTTAGTATATTTTCCTCCTTGTTCCTTTTACTCCCAGTAGTCCTATGAGTTCTATGCCAGCTGTTGTGTGCCATCGAATCAGTTCCTACTCACAGCCACTGAGGCCGCAAATCTTTACAGGAGCAGAAAGCCTCATATTTCTCCCACAGGGCAGCTGGTGAGCTCTACTGGGAGAAATAATATCTCTGTTTCATGGCATCACATTTTTATGGACCCTAAATTCACCTCTGCTTTTCCACATTCTCATTAGTATAATTATTATTCTCCCTGCTACTTATATCTCTTGAACTAACTTTTCTTTCTTTAAATAACGTTGCTAAATGACACAGAAATGAAAACTAATTTCTTAGTCTGGATCTCCATGATCTTCTTAGTGCCTCCTATAAATGCATACTCTGGTAGCGTAGTGGTTACGAATCGGGCTGCAAACCTTAAGGTCGGCGATTGGAAACTACCAGCTGCTCCGCGGGAGAAAGATGAGGCTTTCTACTCCCGTAAAGATTTACACCCTCGGAAACCCTGTACAGGGTCGCTATGGGTCGGAATCGACTCGACGGCACTTAACAACAACAACAACATATCTGAAGCAAGGAGCTCTGGTAGTGTAGCGGATAATCTCTGCTTTTAGTCCGTGATCTATCTGACATCAGTGATTGATGTACTTAGTTCAGTATTCTCGCCTGAATCCAGTGTGAATTTCTAGCAGCTTCTTGTTGATTTACTGCTGCAGCAGTTTTGAAATTACCTTCAGCAAAATTTTTAATTACATGTGATATTAGTGATATTGTACAATGACTTCCACATTCCTTTGGGTCTCCTTTCTTTGGAATGGGCAGAAATATGTTCCAATCAGTTCACCAGGTAGCTGTCTTCCAAATTTCTTGGCATAGATGATAGAGCACCACAGTATTGCATCAGTATGTTGACATATTTCAATTTGTAGTACATAAATTACTGGAGTCTTATTTTTCGCCAATGTCTTCCTTAAACACTGTCAGTTCTCTGATAATATGCTACCTCTTGAAATGACTGAACAGTGACCTATTCTTTGTGGTATAGTGACTTTGTGTATTTCTTCTTCTGATGCTTCCTGCATCATTCAATATCATGCTTATAAATCCTTCAGTACTGCAAGTCGAGGCTTGAGATTTTTCGCCACTTCCTTCAGCTTGAAAAGTGTTGTGTCCTTCCATTTTGATTTTCTAACTCCAAGTCTTCAATACAGTTCATTATAATACTTTACCTTGACATCTGGAGCTACCCTTTGAAATGTTCTTTTCAACTCTTTCACATCCTCATTTCTTCAGTTGCTTTAACTTTTTTACACACAAGAACAAGTTCAGAGTCTCTTCTGTTATCCATTTTGGTCTTTTCTCTCTTTCCTGTCTTTTTAAAAAAAATCTATTTAATGGAATTTTTTTTTTTAAGTTTTTTATTGTGAATTGAGTGTAAATTTACAGGGCAGATCATCAGTTTTACATTCAACAAATCATATACTTTGTTCATTACAGTGATTATAATCCCCACCAATTAACAGTATTTCTTTTTGTTTTAGCTCTTTGTTTTTTGTAGAAACACTTAGGTGATTTTTGCTTTGTTTTTTTATGATGTTATCCCACAACTCTTCTGGTCTTAAGTCATTAGTTTTAAAGCATCAAATCTATTCTTGAGTTGGTTTCTACATTAAGGTGGTATATATTCAAGGTCATATTTTGGATCTTGTTTATTTGTTTTTATTTTCTTCTGCTTCAGCCAGAATTTGTTTGGGGTTAAGTGAGGGATAGTTCCATAGTCTGCCTCTGACCTTGCTCTCATTGATGGTATTGAGCTTCTCTATCATCTTTTCCCACAGCTGTAATTAGTTTGATTCCTGTGTGTTTCATCTGGTGAGGTCCACATTTATGGTCACTTTTTATGTTGCTGATAAAAACTATTTGCAATGAATACATCATTGATCTTACAAAATTGTAGCATGTGATCTCCAGCATCGTTTCTCTCACCAAGTCCATATTTTCCAACTACAGATCCTTCCTCTTTCTTTACAACTTTCACACTCCAATCACCATTCATTAATTATCAATTAATTTTGAGTGTATGTTTGATCAATTTCATGCTGAAGATATTGGTAGAATTCTTGAATTTCATCATCACTAGCTTTAGTGATTGGTGCATAAATTCAAATAATAGTTGTATTAGCTGGTCTTCCTTGTATGCCTGTAGATATTATCCTATCACAGATAATATTTTACTTCAAGCTAGATCTTGAAATGCTCTTTTAGCCAGTCAATGTGACACTATTTCTCTTCAATTTGATTTTCCCAGCATTGTAAAAAAAAATGACTGTTTGATTAAAAATGATCAATACTAGTCCATTTCAGCCCACTAATGTATAGGATATCATTCTTTATGCAAGACATTTCATTTTTGATAACTTTTAATTTCCATAAATTCATACTTTGTACATTATTAATAAATGTTTGTAACTCTTTTTTCCCACTTTGAATTGTGCCACACTAGCAAATGAAAATCCCCCAAAGTTTGTTCCATTCATGTCATTAAAGTCAAATTTACTTTGGTGAGGTTGCTCCTCCTCAGTCATATTTTGAGTGCCTTCCAACCTGAAGGGCTCATCTTCCAGCACTATATTAGTTATCTTTTTGTTTCCATTGATAATAAAAGCATTTTCAGTGGTTAGGTATTCAGAATCAGTCCACCTCTCTTTCTTCCTAGTTCGGTTTCAGTCTGGAAGCTCTGATGATACCTGTCCATGTGGGTGACCTTGCTGGTATTTAAAGTACCAGCAATATCTTCCAGAACCAGAGCAGCACACAAGTCATTACAAACTTGGTGCACGACAAACTGACAGATGAGTGTTGAAATTGGGATATGGAATTAATTTTTAATCTATGAAATTTATCTTATAATTTGTTTTTGGTGTTTCTTTGTCTGCTTGATCTAACTTGTACTTTGGAGTGAAGGATTTGAGCTATTTTCAAATGGTTTTATTGTTACTAATCAGTCTGTTTCTTTTTATACATCCTTTATTTTCTGCTTTGGAGTCCTGGTGTGGCACTATAGGATAAGCACTCGACCATAAAGTCGGTTTGAACCGCAAGTTCGGCTGTTCAAACTCATCGGCCACTCCTTGGAAACCCTGTATGGGGTCACTATGAGTTGCAACCACCTCGATAGCACTTAACAACAACATTTTCTGCTTTATAAATTTTGTTGCCATGCTACTTGTTTCACAGATTTTTTTAACTGTTGGATATTTATTGAGAATTTAAACTTGTAATATTACAAGATTCCTTTTGTCTCTTTAATGCTTTTGAAATACATTTTAATTCTACCTTGATGCTTTTTGTTTGTATTTGCCTAGCGGACCATCTTTTTATTTATGTTTTGCCTTTAATTTTTTACCTTTCTGAATCACTATTTTAGCTATATATTTTTTTACAGCATGCATTAGGTTTTTATTTTTTTTAATCTAAATGTCTATGTTTTTCTTTTATAAAGACCTTTGTTTTTATTAGTTTAGCTTATACATTTAATTTCAGTTTGTCATCCTACTTAGAATGATGTTCTTTCTTTCTGTGGGGAAGCTTTGTTGGCAATACCTGGATTAAGCCACTGCAGATACATCTCTACTTCCCTAATTATATATTCAGTTCTTATTGGATGTTCTCTTTTACAATTGCATATGCAGGCTGCATTATATTGTTCCTGGGTAATTACAGCCTATACTTTTAAGGGTATCTGTTGTTGTTGTTAGCTGTCATTGAGGCAGTTCTGACTCAGCAACCTTTCATGAGGTTTCTGAGGCTGTGATTCGTTCCTGAGGCAGAAAGTCATTGTTGTTATGGATATAGGTTATGTTAAAGGTATAGGGTGAAAAACAGCCACCACTGGTTTGTCAGTTTGTCATGCTGTGGTGGCTTGTAAGTTGCTGTGATTCTGAAAGCTATGCCGCCGGTATTTTAACTACCAGCAGGATCACATATGGTGGATAGGTTTCGGATGAGCTTCCAGACAAAGGTAGACAAGGAAGAAAGACTTACGAACTACTTCCAAATATTT